TCTTTCCCTTGCTTTCTTCTTTCCTGGGAAACTTGTATTAATTTTCTGATCCATGCAACTGGACAAACCTTCTCATTGGGATGTTTGGATAATGACCATCCGGATTGTCTGTGCGCTATGGAATCAGTCTTAGATACAAAAACTGGCCATAAGATTATTCTCTTTTCTGACGACGACATCCTATCTTCTGAAATTCTCAATAACGTCAACTCATGGACTCTTCGGCCCGACACCAAGAGGAGAATCAACGCTGTACGCCTTGATATTTCGAACAATGTATTTTTGATTCTGGATGTCGCTAGCCAATCAACTACTATCTACTACTAACTACATCCCACACAGGCGGTCGTGTGTCTTTTGGACGTGCTGCAGCAATTGCCTTTAGTACCTGACGCACCAACAAGTTTTCTGATAAAACTTCTGAGGATGAGGGTCCACAGAAGGTAGATATAGCAGACTTGTGCACCAAAATTGTGCTGTACGCCAGCTTTTCTTCCAGATGTAAATAAGCTAGGAATCTCGCCACTTGATGAACCTGCGGTATCTGAGGACTCACTTTATTTTGTTCACTCCAGTTCAACCACCTCTTAATTGCTGGATAGTACGTATTCAGCGTCGACTGTCTCCAGCTGGAGTTTAAAAGTTGTCTTTCGGCGGGAGACCAGCTGCTGACGAGGGCTCCCCACCCCCAACCAACCAAGCCTGAAGGATTAGCCGGTCTACTTGCGGTGGTGATGCGTTGAACAATACGTCCACTAAAACTTCTTGAAGATTCTCTATCGTCACTGGTGCCTTCAGGGCACGCGATCTTAGATCTGGCATCCAGAAGGTCTTCTACCATTGAGGTGCTATTATCACATACCGACCTCTGGCACTGTTTAAGTGGGCCAACACCCTGGGCAACAGGCTGGGAGGAGGGAATATCCACCCCAGCTGAAAATTCCATTGGCGGCTGAAGGCGTTTGAGTAGATCGCTAAGCGATCTCTGGAGTCTAATGAGACATAATCCTTGACTACGGCTGTTTCTGCCGACGCGAAAAGGTCGACGTCTGGAGTGCCCCATTGGCCGAATAACCGTTCTGTCGCTGCGGGCAGCAAGTGCCACTCTGGCAGACGCTTGCCTCTTGAGAGGTGATTGGCAATGCAGTTGTACCTCCCCGGGAGATAATGCGCTGATAGACAAATGTTTAGTCGGTCTGTCAGCGTCAACAACTTGCACGTTAAATCCAGAAGACTCAGTGAGCGCGTTCTGCCCTTGTTGCGGATGTAGGCCGCCAGAGTCCGGTTGTCTGATTGGACTAGTATGTGCGCGTTCTTCAACTGACTTGCTTGTCTCCGTATGGCTGCATATACTGCGAACATCTCTTTCCTGTTCGAATGCCATCTCATCTGACTGCTTGTCCAAGTTCCCGTCATCGGAATCTCGTCCAGTTGAGCCCCTCAATCTGAATCCGCAGCGTCTGTTGTCAGAAAGTGGGTATACGGTTTTGGATGTAGTACTGATACGCTCCTGATGGCACCGCGCCACCACTTTAGGTCTAATATCGCCCGGGAGGGTACCATCCGCTTCTCTTTTGGTCGACGATGATCGAAGCGATGAGAAAATATTTGAAGATGCCGACAATGCAAACGACCCCTGGGAATTACGAAGTTTGCAAAATTTAGTTGTCCCAGTAATCTTTGAATCTGTTTTACATTACAGTTTTGTTTGGACAAAATGAGAGCTATCGAGTCTAAGATCTTCTCTTTTTTCTCTTGCTAGGAACTTTGTGTTGTTGTTGGTGTTCCAAGATATGCCTAGATATTCGATTTGTTGAATCGGCCTGAGAATTGACTTCTGATAATTGACCTGCCATCCCAAAGATTCCAAGATGTTCACGGCTTCCGAAGCCTGTGAATTCAACTTGGTCTGGTTCTGATGAACCAGGAGAAAATCGTCTAAATAAACTAGAACCCGAAATCCTCGAGCTCGAAGGATCTCCGCGATCCAATTCGTTAGTGCTGCAAAGGTCCTTGGTGCAGAGGCTAGGCCGAATGGCAATGAGGTCATTTGTAGTAGTTCTCCCTTGTATACCAATCTTAGATAATAACGATGCGATTCCGAAATGGGAACATGAAAATAGGCCTAAAATAGGTCGACTTTCACCATCCAATCCTGTTTTTGAAGAAAATCCGGCACTGCTGCCTGGGAAATTAACTGGAAATGCTTTGTTTTTATGAACGAGTTCAATCCACGGAGGTCGAAGATTGGGCGGAGCCCTCCATCGCCCTTTTGAATTATAAACATTTTCGACAAGAAGCTTGGACTTACTTGCTTCGGTGTTTCCAATATTTGTTGTCTTCTTAAATCGTCGATTATTTTCGTGGAACTCGAGGATATTCTTGTACTGTATTTTCCCATTATGTCTGATGTCGGAAAAAGTAGAGGGGGTTTGGATGTGAATGGTATTCGAGCTCCTGCGATGATTTTCATGATAAATTCGTTTGCTCCTAACATCAACCATGTCTGCTGAAAATTCTGCAAACAACCCCCTTTGAATGAACGATTTCGGAAGTCATTTCCTGTTTTTTGTACGAAAGGAATTATTTTTTGAATTATCCTTAAATCTTTTCTGATCTGTCTTGTTTTTCTTGAATGACCGTGAATCCTTGCGAAAATTCTCCTTAGCTCTGAATGGTACTGATGTTACTGTCTCCGAAGAACGTTTCTTTGCCTTAAGATCTCTTCTATCTTTTAAATATACTGGTGGATTTAACCATATATTTGCACCACCGAGCGACTGTATTAGGGGCGTCAGACTATCGCGATCGAACAAATGCTCCACGCTTGGGGGCACTTTTCGCAAGGATACCTGTAAATTTTTATTCGATAACTCCGAAAGGATACGTTCACATCTTACCTCAACACATTCAGCTCTCTTTCCGCATAAGACTTGTAAAATTTGCTCCATGTTCTTATAACTCTGTGAGCTAGATCCAAATAGATTTAAAATTTTATCAAATAAATTCAAGGGATTAAATTCAGTTGGTGAATTATTCGCCCAATTTATAATCTCTTGTAAACTAGAACGTAAACAATCCTTCTGGTCGAGTAAGGCATTCGTCAGTCCCGCCATTACCCGTTCTGTCTGAGGAGCCGCTCGCGCACTATTGCGCGTAACATTAGAATTAGATGATAAGGCGAGCGCCGATGTCCGGCTGCTAGAATTTATTATAAACAAGATAGAACCATCGCGGTACCATAACGCGATAGATGAAAAAATATATAATGAAGAACGAAGAATGTCAAAAACTTACTATATGATTTGAAAGCTTGCACACTGCGTCTACACGCTCCTTGGACGATTGTTTGATCACCTTCTTAACGTTTATTTTGGTCTCAACTTCGCCCAAATCCAGTGGTTTACTCGTAGCGGGATTAATAAAAAAAGAGTCATTTGTCTCGGATTCTCCCGCACACGTTGACGGAATAATATTCTGGGAGCCTTGTATGTAACTCAAATAGTTGGTTATGTAGCCTATCTTATTAATTAAATCGTCTACTCGTGGATCACTCCTAGCTCTCTTATTTGGTGGACGCGAGCGTGATCTTTTTTCTGAACGTGTCTCAGAAAAAGACGAGCTACTACTATCTTCCCGCTTACGGCGTCTGACCTCGCTTGCCGTCATGTCTTCGTTGTTTCGCCGGAAGGAGCGCCTCCAACATGGCTTTGTTACAAATCAAGGCTATTCGCTGACTCATCCTATATATTGCTCATATTCACGCCAACTTCTGCTTACCGATGTAAAATAATTAGGAATGCCTATTGCAAGAGCAACTATACAAAACTCAGACTTTGTTTTGATCTCGTATATCACAAATATACATGGAATATTCTAATTCTTTTCCGAGTAAAATTTCTCTGCCTTCTTACGCAGTAAGTACACAAAACGCTATGAAGTGTCAGTGCTTCACAGAGCGCCAACTCTGCAAAAGATTGAGAGACAGGTGGAGTGGCGCCGCTGGTGAGTAACGAAGGAACAAGATTCGAGATAAGTAGTGTTAATAGGGGAGGTGAGGGACGGGGGATCCCGCGCGGGCGAGGGGGCATGACGTCACGCAGGCGGAGGGGGATTTTGTGGCTCGGGGGAATGACGTCACGCGGGCGGGGGAGCTTATCGCGGAGCATAACAAAAATAAGTTTAACGGGTGTCAAAAGTGCATAACGAGAAATTTTGATCGCGTAAAGAAAAAGTCAAGTGCTTTTCCTTCACCCGTGCTCTCCGGCACACTTGAACGCGCCAGTTATAAACAATGCCGCAGCAGATCTGAATTTTCCGATGCGACAGGATAGTATCGTTCGAGTTACCACCGTGAACGTTCGTCTTTCTATTTTTCTGACTATATTTTTGACTGTGTTAGCGATTTAAAAAAATGTATAAAATGCCGTCATTAATTGAAGCCGTATTGCGTCGCGGACAATGGAACGCGGCATGATAGGCTCACGATCTGGTGATGGGGCTGTTGAGAGCCCTGTTAAATCTGGTTGTATACCAGAGAGTAAGTAGCATTTTTTATTTTATATCTTATTACTTATTATTTATAATATATATTATAAATGAAATAGATAATAATTTCGAGGCAGTATTAGACGAGTCGTCCGACGAAGATCAAATGGAAATAGAGAATAATTTCGAGGCAGTATCAGATGAATCGTCCGACGAAGATCGCGCATTGTCGGATGACAGTAATTACAAGAGCGATCAAAGCGAAGACCTCGAAGAAAGTGTTGACAAGATAGTGCCTCATTCGCAAATTATTGCACTAAACGGACGT